TTCGGGACATTTACTCTCTCCTTATTACATCATTTTGTCATTTTCAGATCCCGCCAGCCGGTTGTACCGGGTCAACTAATTAAGAATTTCCTCAACCGGGTACCCGAAATTTATTCGGTACGGGTCGGTTAACCGATTATAGTATAACCGATTCAAGTCACTAATTTAGAAGCATACTTAACAGAAGTTAAAATGCCACTCTATACAGAGAAATTACATTTCGGGAGATAATTTTCTGTTCTTTAAATTATTTAGTGCTGCTAAATTGAAACCCGAAAGTGAATTTCAAGTTCTCATTCTTGGCAAACAGATCATATTTATAATTATAGTTTTCAGGGTTAAGTTCTCTATGGTGAAAACTTAAAATATTAACTTCCTGGTTTTAACTTGGCAGCACTCGTATTAGGTTTAAACTTGAACATTAGCTAACATATTGAGGTTCTGATTTTATATTTAAGGTCCTCTTCACAATTAGAAGCGAAAGAATATATAGCTTAATTTGTGGTTTATGGGAAATTTTAGCAGAAGATTTGGTAAGGTCATATTGATGGTAGTTGTAATTTAATAGTAAAGACTATTTAGAGTTGTTACGAACAATTGAATTAAATTTTTGATATGTAATAATTCAGAATACTATTTTTATTATTAAAGTATAATTTATTGTGTTTTATACAATAAAATGTAATAAAAATTTTATTTATAAGAGTAAGAAAACATCAAACTCTAATAAACGACTTTTAGGACAGATTCTTCATAATAAATCACGATCCATCTCTGCAGACTATTGATAATAAACAAATGAATCGTTTACTAATCTGAATTTGATTTCGATAACGGGCATAATCCATACCAGTATTTTTTGAAAAAAATAATTTTATTTTAATACAGTTCAATCCAATCCCTATTTGATAACAGCAGCATTAGATGTCTTATTAACATGTTTTATACTGAAGAACTTTTTTTAACGATATTTAATGAATATCTTACGTGTATATCTTTCTTAATAACTAATAGCCAATATTGAATATTATATATATATATATATATTTTTTTTTTTTTTTTTTTTTTAATGAATGTCTTACGTTTATATTTTGAACCTACAGTAATTCGTGATGATAACAATTGCAATATTAGAAAATGGTATGTAATATTTTTATTTATGATAATACAATTTCATAATATTTATAATAAATCATCATTAAAAAATTGAAATTCTCTTTCTACAATTGCTACAGGATCAAATTCCATATTACCACTTCTTTGTGTTGCACGAGATAATTCTTCGGCATTACCTTGCCCACCAAAATTTGCATGTGAAAAATCGACTATTAGGCCGATTTCAAGCTTGTTATTATTTGACTGAGCAGATTTCAAAACATCTTCATCTTGTTCCAGTTCTATACTATTATTTTCCATATCAGTATAAGTAGTTAAATCTAATACACTATCACGTAGTTCACCTTCAGACAACTCTTTCCCATAATAATGAAGCTCATTTTTAAGGTTAGAAATATAAAATGAATGAATTTGAGCCATACTTTCAATTTTTTCTGGAGACAAACATGTTCTATAGGTGCCGTATAACTATTTTAAAATAGAAAAATTACGTTCACAACTTGCCTGCGATGGTACAACTGCAAAAATAGCTTTCACAAGATTCTGGAGATAGGGGTAATCATCTTCTATTACACCCCACCATAAACTGGGTGTTTTAGATGAATCGTAGCTAGTGTTGTTAGTCGATCGACTAATAGTCGACTAACTGAGCCATCGGCTAAGTCATCAGCTTAGTCGACTAAATCATTAAAGGGCAAATTCTGCTTTGCTGATAATGATCTTATGTGTATTTTTTATTCGATACAGATCCTGTGTAAACAATAATCAACTTATCTAATGAAACTCTTAAAAAAGAACAATAGATGAACTTTGACCAATAATTTTTAGTTTGTCGACCAAGTCAACTTAGTCGATTAGCTACATATCGGCTTATAACACTAATCGTAGCCAAAGTCAAATGGGTAATCCTCGCTTTTATAATTAATTAATTGTGTAGTAAGTATTTCACATGCAACATCATCATTGTGCATACTTTTATAAAATTTGGCGGCTATCTCACAAATTCGTCAGAACATTTCTTTATGTAGACCAAGACCTATATATTAAATTAAAAATATATGTAAATGAATTGATACTGTAAATAAATAAATAAAATATTATCACTATCTAATAAAGTTTACTCAGGTTTTTTAATTGGCATCGTATACCTTTTTTTATTTATAGATTGACTATTTAAAGTAGATGATTACTGAAATACAAGATACATGGCTTTGCTACACGTATCTTGATATAAAGTTAATCTATGCCATAATAGCCAATAAAAAATCTGAAATTAAACTGTTTCAAGATATATAGATAAAGAATTTTCTATAAAACTAGTTTTAAACTTGAAAGATGGTACGGTACCTCTATAACCTGGATGAAGAAGATAGGCAAGCAGATACGGTTTAATTTCATATTCAGCATAATGTTTATTAAATATTTTGATAGCTGATTCACAAAAAGCATTATTCAAAGAAATTCTGTTAATAGCCACGGCTATCTTTACTATACTAACAAAGCAATCAGCAAGATTTGCAGTACGTGCTTCCAGATTAAGTATTGCTTCTTTGATAGGTTGGATTATAGATGCAATTCGACGACAATTTGCATAAAATATATCGTCATCATCATTTAATAGCGAAATAATGGCTTGTTGACTAATTACATCACAATTTTCATCTAAAATCTAAATCAAAAAAAAAAAATTATAGTAATCAAAGCCAATTGAGGAAATACAAAATTATTAACTACGTATACCTTTTTAAAAACAGGCTTTAGTCTTACAATAGAAGACATGGTTCCAAAAACAGAAGCCCATCTTGTTTTAGCATACATTTCTAAGCCACCGCCGCTTAATTTCATACTTTCAATACTATCACGAAGAAGTTGATTTGCTTTATGTAACTTTTTAAAGAACTGAACGATTTGATTTGCTTGCTTTAAAACATGATCAACAGACCTAACTTTTACTATATCACTTGCAATAAGATTTAATGCATGAGCGATGCATCTGATATTCCAAATATATGAATAATTATATGTAGTAATTTCACAAGCAATACAGATATTACTTCTGTTATCTGTTACACATGCTATAAATTTACTGAAGCCAATTTTATCAACAATAGAAATTTTAGAGGTGAGAAATTCACCCGTCTGTGCCATATCAGAAAAATCCAAAATTGAGTACAAATATTCTTTATGATTAGAAGTAAAGACAATAAAATTATATAATGAGTCATTGGTGGGGGTCGACCATCCATCAAGTGCTATTAAAAATATATATTATTATAAAATTTATAAATACAAAAAAGGTTTATATTTTTAAACTTTTTATCTAAAGTTAAGTTTTCTGCTTTGTCAAGTAAACTATCTATTCGTATTGTTATGCGGGCTACCTCCTCATTAAGTATTCGTTCTAATAATGTAACCCTTCCAGGAGGAACCCCAACCCGGCTCAAGTAGATGAAGAAGATCACGAACAAATGGATTATCAATTACAGAGAATGCAATTCTCGCGCAAACAAAAGCTTTAAGTAAAGCTTTATTAATTTCATTAACTTTTTCACTTGATATAGGTTTACAATATGAACGTGGCTTTGTTGATGATGATAATGTACTTTCATTATCACTATCATCATTTATTTTATCATTTTGCTTTGCTACTTTAATTAAATAATAACATCTTAAATTATCAGGAATATCGCCTTTGCAATGTAGGCTAAATGGGACTCCATAGTTGCAGGCCTTCCACATTTCCATTTTCCTTGAACACAGTACCGACATTGAGCACCATAGTGACCTTTACCATCGGATTCACCAGTATCGAAGTCTTCCCAAACGGGATCTTTTGGTCGTCCACCCTTATTTACTAAGACTCTTTGAAGACGTGTTTCGTCTGCTTTCCGTTTGCCAAGTGTTTTACTAGATTGTGATGTTTCAGACACACTTTCAGGAAAGTCTTCCATATTAAACTTTCATTAATTGCTTTATTACAAGAATGTTGAAAATTGATTTTATTAAAATTTTGAATTATTTATACATTTGAAGCTTGTATTCTTTAAACAAACTGGTTTAGGGTGTCCTCAAGCAGCTCATTCAATGCGATCAATTGAGCGGTTAATGTAGTAAATTGAAGAACGACTTTCTAAAATTTCATTGCGCAAAATGCGGATTTTGAATTTTAACCAATCAGAACAACTCTGAAAAAAAAAAATGGTCTGCACTATGGCTGTAAACCAAACCCGAATGGGACAATTACGACTTTTTACCTAATTTGGGCTCGGGGGTCGACCATATTATTGTGAATTCAAAACCCAAACCGGTGCCCTTTTCTTATTGCATATCCCAAACCTCATCGACCAATCAGCGATCAAAATTTTAATGATTGTGCATCTGGTACGTACGCACGCTTGTTCTCTAAATTTAAGCTAGTATACAAGTTTCCGTTAATGCTGTAATGGCGCTGAGGCTAGAACCAGTTTTGACAAGTTGGTAATGCCTTTATTTCTTTTGTGTTCAAACAAAGGGCGGCAATACTAAGTTGTTGGCTTCTTTAGAATTCACTTACGAGTAAAAAAGGTTTTGAATATGATCCGCGCTTTTTTTT